ATTGCTGGGCTAGGTGTAGATGTCAGGGGTAGATGTCAGGGGTGTGTGGCTGAAGCTCTCAGCCCCCATCACCCCAGCTCAGGGGCCCGGGGCTCTTCCTGCAGTGATTCGGTGGTCATCGCTGGGCTGGTTGCAGGTGTCAGGGGGACGTGAGTAATCCCTTTTTTACCCAAACAAATACCTGGCAAAAACCCTTTATTGCTGGAGCATAAACCCCTTTTCTCCTTCAACCTCAAATCAAACATTAGCTTATCTGAAAAGATTAGCAATATCCTCATTTGGCAAATGGATGTAAAAAGCACTTTATTATGTATCGATGTTAACTTGCTATTCAAGGACACAAATATACTTGAGGTTTGGGCTGTTTTGAAAGTTTGGCAAGGATGATGAATTCCTCTTACTTGACCAAGGAGCTACTCTTATCTTGACCACATTAGATTGAAGTGAGGTCTCAAAGAAAGTGACAGGCCTGGTACCTCAGAAAGAGAGGTTTTTATTGGCATGATGGGGACAGGGCACAGCATGAGGGAAGAAGTGGGTGATGGGCCCCTGGGACAACATGGGCAACTGGTCCAGGAAAGACGTGGACCAGTAGGAAGAGAGTTGTGAGAGTCCAGCCTGTTGGGGGCACTGTTAGAAGGAGCAGACTCAACAGGCCTCGACGACTGAACAGGGAGAGAGAGGGAGAGGGAGGGGAGAAAACTAGGCAGATCACCAGGTTCTGGTTCAAATGACTGCAAGAGTAATTACATGAGATAACTTCAAAAAGGTTAGTGGAAAAATAGAAGTAAAAGATGATGCAAATCTTTCCATGAACTTTTTGAAGTACCCTCGTACGTTAATGATCTTGGCTCTGCTACTTGTTTTCTGTAGAACTGTCATTAAATGTCTCTAAGCCTCAGTTTCATCATCTATAAAATGATGATGAGTACCTACTTCTTGAGATTATTATAACGACTAAACTGTAAAGTTCTCATAAGTGTCTGGCACAGAGTGATCTCTATATGAGTGCTTGTTACATAGACAGAGAACTCACTGAAAGGGACATATTTGGAGAAAAAGACAGGATCTTTTCTGGATATGTTGAATGCCAGGAGTCTATGGGACATTGCCATTAGGCAGTTGAAAAACAGACTTGGAACTTTGGCACAAAGTCTAAACAGAAACAGATTTTATTGCCTCCAGAGGAATGGGCAAATTTGCTTAGATATACTGTGAAAATAAGAAGAGGACCAAGGAAGGTATCATGAGGGACAACATCATACGGAAGGCTGAGGCAGAGGCTTTAGAGAAGCAGACTAAGGGTCTATCTGATAAGTGTGAGAGCCAGGAACACGTGGTGTCAGGGGAAGCCACCGGATGCTCCACAGGTCAAGGGAGGTAAGGACTAAAACGGCCTAATCTCCTTCTTCTATGGCCCTCTGGGTCATATAAGTGAAAGCCCAGATTTCACATTTCCAGAGCTGAAGTATAGGAAAGTAAGGAGGAAAGGGGCGAAGAACCTAAAGATGGAGGGGGGTGGTGCGGATGCAAAAATAATAGATTCAAGAAGTCATAGATAACGTGCCCAACAGGTGGCGCCAAAGACCCTCTGCGGCGTCCACGAGCGCCCCAGAACGGCCGCTCCTGCAAGCCTTGCTGGAGTCCTACTCAAAGCCGCCAGCCCGCCAGGTGGCACTCTTTTCTCTGTGCTAGGGACTCTGAGGGTTATGTACTTGTCTGTTTATGTGTGTCTGTGTCAGAGAATAAGTCCCAGTTATTTTATCTTCTACATAGCTTTCAAATCTATGTCTCTTCATCTACATTACTGCCTCTGCGTTCCAAACCACTGTTCTCACTTGCCGGGTCTAACTGCTCCAACTGCTTTCTAAATTATCCATTCTCAACTCCCCGCCGGCCCCAACACGATTCTCCTAGTGCAGTTTTTTTAGAGCATGTCTGTCTCCTAGCTCCCTACCAGCCCACAGCATTGGAAGTCTAGTGCAGTAGTTATAAATGAGGATCCGGGGGCAGGATTGCCTAGTTTCAAATCCCACCTCCAGCCGGCACCAGCTATGTTTGACTTTGGGCAAGTTGCTTAATCTCTCTCTGTGCCTCATTTCTTCACCTGTTAAATGGGGATAAGATTTTCCTCATAGGATTATAGTGAGGACCAAATGAGTTTACATGCTAAGTTTTTGAAACACTGTTTGGCACATAGTAAGCTATTAGTCTCTAGCATAAAAATTCAAAGCCTTATCCATATCGAAATGCCCCCTTGATCTAGCTGCATTTCTGACCTTATTTGAAAGCACTCCCCCTTTCATCCTTGGTGCTTCAGCACCCCCTGCATTCAGGCGGTTACCTTCTCAGTTGGTTTCTTCTTCCTTGATATAAACACTACTTCACCATTCCGAGGTGTCTGAACAGATCTGACTAGATCAGAATCCTCTCTTCTAAATTCTTGATGTATCTCTCTGCACATTGCCCTGCTAGAACTACTACTAATTTTTATTAAAAACTCTGATCAGTTGTCTAATATTGCCCCTTCCCCCGGCTCCCAGCATATAAACTAAGAGGTTAACGAACTGTCTCATCCCGCATGGAGACCAGCTAGTGGGATTTTGCAGACCTAGAACCAGGATAATCCAGGCAAGTGGAAAGCAGCGTAAGGTGGGAAATCTTGGTGACATTACAGCAGTTCCATTCTACCATTGTCACACCCTGTTCTCTACTACAGCCACTCTCTCATTGCTCGGGAAGACCTCCCTTGGGTTTACACAAGACCCAGAGAAAAACTCCATCCAGCCCTGGTCCTTGTCCTGGGAATCCCTAATGCTGGTCACTCATGGAAGCAGGGCCCTCCAATCGAAGTAGTCCTGAGGAATCCAAGAGCAGGAAGGTTGGCATGGGTGGGATTAGGGTCCACATGTTGAGGTGCAGTAAGGATGAATGGTCTGTGAAGACCAAGTCATGCCTGTATCTTGGAGTCAATCAGTATTATCACTCTTCCATGGGGGTTAATCATGGCACTCTTTATTGACACTCAGCAAACTACATGAGGACAAGACCTTGTCTTCTTCATCTCTCTACCCTGTAACCCCTGGCTTGGCAGTATCCAAGTCTATGAACCTAATAGCATTTGAAGCATTAAAGAGGAGCAAATGGTGAGGGGAGAGGGGAAACAAGCAGTAGCAGCAGTGCAACCCATGATTCTAAGAGTTGGGGAAGAGCATAGGAGGAAATAATGCCCACAGGACTCCTTAGCTGGTCCTTTTGGTTGTTCTGGAGACTGTTTGTTACTTTGGAAGTACTTAGTCAACCAAGACTCTGAAACTACTACAATGCCTAAGGGGGACAGGATGGGGTAGAGTGGGGGGCCTGAATGAGTAAATTCAATTAAGGAATTTACTCCCCTTTCCCACTCAGCCTGTCCTGCAATAAAGGATATGAGCCAGGCCTTCTCCATCTCTTACAGTATTTAGGGTCAACTGAGTTCAATTTATAGGGAACTCCAAGATGTGGTATCTGGAACCTACCTTTTGATGGTTACAATTTTTATTTTTCCAAACAAAGTCTTGAAAGTACAAAAGCAGAAGGGGGATCAGCCAGAGACTGACAAGATTATACAACTAGCCTCCTCCCCAAACTAATCCAACTCAAACCTTGCTCTAAAATGTAGTCATACATAGACATGCATTTCAATTAAAACTTCAACCTCAACGTTTGTTCCCATTTTTAGACCTTATAAGAAAAATACTTAAGTAACATAATTACTGCCCAATTACCCACTGCCTCCCAAAGCAAGCTCTATTTAATATTTATCACTTTGGAATTTACAACATCTTTTTTGACTTTTCCAAAAGGGGACCAGACCTCACTCATTGGTGAACTCCACAATTAAGTTAGCCAGAAAGCCCAGTGAAAGGTCTTTTCTTTAAAACTAAAGGCATTGCAAAAACAGTTAACAAGTGGTTCTCAAATCTGATTACCCAATAGCACCTCCTCCACTTTTGAAATTTTGTTCCAGGACCCAATTTAAACAAAACTCCTGAAGATAGGAGGGTTGAGAATTGCTGCTATAGTTCCATTTATTGCCACCTCCAAAGCCCTCACCACTTCCACTGGAGACTACCCTTGTTTCTGGAAACATTATTTAGAGGATAAACCATTTGCTTTACCACATATTCCTAATTCCCACTTCCAAAACTTCATTTCAAAATTCAGGTTTCCCACTTTGGCCCATTATACTGGGCCAAGTGCCTCACTACTGCATTATTAAAACTCCAAATTCCGGAACCCACACAACCCAGCTCCCTGAACTATGCAGCCCCTCTCCCCCTTAATCGACAGGGTATGTGGAAATGGCAGTTTTGCAATTTGAATTTGAAGAACTTTTGGAATACTCAAGTACCCACTGTTGGCTACCTCCCACCCCTTTCACATTTTAGTATGTTCTGGAGACAATTCCTACATCCAGCACCTAAAAGAAAATCTTAGTCTATCTCAAGTCTTGAGTTCTAGGCACAAACAAGCCATAGCTTGTTTTTCATCTAAACCAGAGCAAATTTAGGCTTAAAGATTATTTTGACGAAGACTCATTTTACAAAGGTCAGACACATTTACTTTATCAACACACCAATAGCCTACTGGTTTGCTTTAAAAATTAAAAACATAGGGCCGGCCCGGCGGCGCACTGCGCTAGTGCGCCGCTTGGAAAATGTGGCTGCGCTCCCGCCGAGGGTTCGGATCCCACATACAGACCGGTTCCCGCTCACTGGCTGAGCGAGGCGCGGGGGCAACACTGAGGGTTGCGATCCCGTTGCCGGTATGGGGGCGACACTGAGGGTTGCGATCCGTTGCCGGACACAGAAAAAAAAAAAAAAAATTAAAAACATAATCCAACTCAACAGCTACTCCTTTTTCTCACCTCAAGAATATTTTCCTCAAAACTCTCAAACAATTCTAATTAATATTCCTTTATAAGCTCTACAGAAACAAATATTAAGATAACCCGAAACTTGAATAATATTTTCTTTATTTACAAGTTAGAATCAACAGACAAAGAAAGACAGTCCAGGGGACCAAATGGGGAGATGACTGAAACCCCCAAGGCTCCAAATGGAGCGGAAGGAAAAAAGGAAAACAGTAGAAAAAAAAAAGACAACGTAAAAAAAGTTCCCCTTTCTTCCCTTCCCATGGAGGCTGAGAGGACCAAGGCCCCACCCCCCAGCCTTACCTAGCTTAAAATAAATTAGAACCACCAACTTCAAAACAAGGCCCTTAGAAGTGAACAGGACAGCTATGGCCTCAGGTAACCCCATTATCAGGGCCCTTGCCCACCCCCACCTTGTGTCCCTGCCCCACCTCAGTCATTTTGAATAGCGGGGCTCTGTGCCCTAGAGGTCACTCCCAATGGGGATGGGAACTCAAATCTTATTTTGTCCAAGTCTCTCCTTCAGTAAATGTCCCTGCATCTCTACCCCCTGCAGAGCCAGCTCTCCTACAGAGGGGGGAGAGTGAGATGAAGTATCACAGCAAGGGGCGGGTGTATGTGTGTGTGTGTTTGTGTGTGTGAAGGGGGGGCAGGGTGGTCTACGGGTCCGGTCCTGCGGAGCCTTCCTGCCCCAGCTGGCCTGGCCTCTTAGCCTGAGTCTGAATCACTGGTGTCTGAAGAGGAGGAAGATGAAGAGGAGGAGCTGGAATCTGAGCTGGAACTGGAAGCACTGAGGCGTGACACTGCTACTTGCTGTGCAGAGGATGATTCTGTTTTCTCATTCACTGCAGAACAAAATTAAGATTAAAAATACAAGTCTGTATCTTCATTTGTTAAGAAAAAAATCGAGAGCAGGATGCAATAAATCTGCATGGTATATAAGCATACTCACCTTTCTTGGGGGGCTTTTTGGTGGAATTGAGCTGCCCGCTGACATCTTGTAACCGCTTTTCTAATTCTCGCTTCTTCTCCAAAGCCAGTTCCTCCTTTGTCTTTCCCACAGGTTTCTTAATGGCTAGAAAAATACATCAGGATTCATTAAGCCTGCCAAGTGCATCCTAGAGTTATTGGCCCGTAAAGTTGCCAAATTTCTTTCTTGAACGCCAGGAGGCAACCAATACATCCTATCATCCTGAGAACTGACAAACACATACCACCCACCCTCCTTCCTGGAACTGTCTTCAGAACCACAGGATTGCTGGATTAACTGAACCTCAGTCCTTACTTACTGTAGGGCTTCCGGGGTTTCTTTCGTAGGCAAGATAGGACGTAGCGTTCAAGCTCTCTAAGTGTGGATGGTTTGAGCGTTTCAAAATCAATCTCAATCTCTTCTGGGTTTGAGTCACGTAAAGAGGGCTCCCTGGCTTGGATTATATGCACAACTCGACCTAGCTTCTCCCCAGGTAATTTGTTAATGTCCAGACTCAACTGCCGCTTCTCATCATAACTCATGGGCCGGCTCTCTTCCTCCTCCTCTGAATCATAACCTGCAGGTAAGGCAGGTGGGGCTGTCTTCGTGGCCTTTTTGGGGAGCCTATGGGAAAAAGAAAACTGTCAAGTGGAGAAGCTTTGTTAACCTTTCCCAACATGTTCCCACTGTTCAAACCCAGTAATCTGTATTTCCTGCCTGGACTGCAGCCTCTTTTTTTATACTAAGGCAAATGGCTAAATCAGAGATGGGCTATTGGGACATTATAGGAACAGAGCATTTTATTGAGCTCTTAAATGCCAACCATTTGGCATTTAAAACTTAATATAGATATACTGGCATGGATCCATCTTTGTGCTCCCCAAAGCACTATTTAACCTACCCCACCATGGAAAACAGATAAAGGCCTAGATTCATTCATTTAGAGGAATAAGCAAACTATGACCCAGGGAACAAATCTGGCCTGACACTTGTTTTTGTAAGTAAAGTCTTACTAAAGCATGGCCATGTTTATTTGTTTACATATTGCCTCTGACTGCTTTCACACGATACTGTCAGAGCTGGGCAGCTATGGAAGACCCTATGTCCCTCAAAGCCTATCTTATGTTACCTGGCCACTGAGAGAAAGTTTGCTGACCCCTGGTTTAGAGAAAACTTTGCAAGGAGTGGGAGGATAGCAATCCCTGGAGAGAGAAATATCCAAACTAGTATCTGCTTCCTACCCTGTTAGAACTCACTTGGTGCCATTTCCTCCAGAAGGTCCAAAGCCAGGAGGACCTAGTGTAGCAGCACTTCCACCTCCACTGCCACTCGCTTTCTTGGACTTCTTGGGCTGAGTTGGGCGGGGTGCCCGAGGCCCCTTGTCATCTTCCTCAACCCCAGCTCGGCCTCGATGCTTCTCTGCCTTCCGTTTCTTCTTCTTCTCCTTTTTCTCTCTCTTCCTCTTGGGCTTGGATATTGGACCCTGGGACAGGGCAGCCAGTTGTTCATGTACTGCCCTAAGCTAGAGGAAAACAAGAGTCAGACATGAGGAGAGAAAAATAAACTGCAAAGACTAAGGAAAAAACTAGAACAAAGACAGGGCACAAACCTCTTTACCAGTAAAAACTGAAGAGAAACAAAATACCTGTTCCTGTAGTTCTGCCAAGCGATGAGCCCTTTCCTCCTCTGAGTCTGAGCTTTCACTCTCTTCTTCTTCCTCATCCTCCTCATCCTCCTCCTCTTCCTCAGAGGAGCTCTCACTGCTACTTTCTTCACTGGAGGACTCTGAAGATGATTTGGCCAGGCCAGGAGGCAAGGCAGTAGAGACTGGTAAAGGTCCTGGTTCCAGTGGCTCATCTGGCATCTTGGCATAGCGGAACTCAAATACATCCTAGAAAAAGAGGCAGACTCAAAACTGCTGGTATATAGTACCCTGATTATACCCAGCCAACCACTGGTATAGCTCCAATTTACAACTACAGAATTAGGAGATCTTCATGTTGTGACTGTATGGCACAGACACAGATTTCTGTTAAATCTCTCCCCATACCCATTTATTCTTCAAACTCCAACCTTTACACTCACCTGTAGCTTTCGGGCCATGGCCACAACATCGTGGTCTGGGGGATTGTACTTATAGCAGTTGGAGAACATAAGCCGCACATCAGCAGCAAACTCCTGTGCATCACGGTAATCACGATTCTCCATCTTCCGCTGCAGAAGGAGGCAGCATCAGAAGCTGCACAGGCAGGGAGACTCACCTTTCCCTGCCAACCCCAAACACCACAAGAAGAGCTCTCTTTTGAGAGCACAGTGGGTATGACCTTAAAGATCTGTACCCTGGGGTTCAAATTTGAAGTCAAAGGAATTTAGGTGGGTTGAAGAAATATCTATGTCTACAAAAAGAAATCATTTCTAAGTAATAGGGGAGGAGAGGTGGCCTCGGACTATCCTTCCATCCTTTAACTTCCTAACCCAACATTCCAAGTAAATGGTATATAATTATAGATGAGTAGTGTTGCTCTGAAAAGAAATCCTACCTTTTGTTTCAAACTCCAATAAAATATGGGTTCTCATCAAATATTTAACCTTCTGCCCCATTACTACTTTGTAAAAATAAAACACCAAGAATCAAAGACTTCTGTGTGCCCGCAAGGAGACACAACTTTGTTTTATTGACCCCTAGGCTCCAATCGCTGCCTGAGCATCCCATCTGCCCCATGCAGTGGGTACCTTGACAGTGCTGAGGTCCATGGGGTGCTTAATGATGTCATGGTAGTCATGCAGGCCAAGAGCAGAAGCATCCACTGGTTTATAGAAAGGCCAGGCATAGGCAGCATGCTTCTTAGAAAGTAACTCCTTCAAAATGCCATTACAATGTTTTAACTGTTCTGATAGCTTTCCTTTCTTAGAGCTCTGGTGTTGTTGCTGAGAGTCAGGCAAGTCTTTGCGTGGGGGCTTGATGGGGCGGCCACTCTCTCTGCGCATAGGGGGAAGCCGTGCTGCCTTAGGCTCAAGACCCCCTGGAGGGCTAGCTGGGGAACCAGGAGCAAGGATGGCTGTAGGTGTAGGTGTGGTAGTATCTGCTTTCCGCTTTACCCCTTTTTTCTGCAGAGAAAAACAAGATAAGAGCCTATTACCCCAGGTCTGTCTCATTTAAGACCTTTCCCTCCCTCTTTACCCCCAAAGAAATCCACAGATCTATACCTTGGCAAGGGGCTGGGCTGGGGGAGCTGCAGAAACAGCAAGGAGTGGGGGTCCAGCAGAATGCAGGGTCTTGAGAAGGGGAGAAGAGATGACTGATGGATGGGGAATGTTCAGGACAGTGGTAGGTATCTCAGGTGGTGGAGTATACAGAGCTGTTTGTGACACAGAAGAAACAGCAGGCACCTGGTGGGCACTGGTAATACTGCCCTGGAGTGCTAGAAAAAAGAAGAAAAAACATTTAGTTTGATTCTTTTTCCTGTCTTTAGGTCTCCATTTACAAAACTGCCAATCTTCTTACCTGCCAACTTGGCCCCCTTCTTGTGGCTGTTTTTAGGGATGGTCACCACAAGCTCTTGTTCCTCTTGTGGCATTGATGCCACCTTCTGTAGAAAGATCTTTTCCAGTGTTTGTGCCATCAGGACAATATCATCAGTGGGCTAGAGGAACACACACACACACACACAAAAGGTTCAAATGCCTGCAGCAAACATACCATCTTTCCCAGAGAAATTCCTAAGCCCCAGGTCATCATCACCACCCCCATAGATGCCTTTGTTATCAAGTGCTAAAAATTACCTACACCAGGCCACTAATTGCCACTCTCTCTCTCAACTCCATCTCACAAAATACAAGAAAAAAAGCACATGGTCTCTTAAGAGTACAGAAATAAGGGAATGAAAGCTGACAAGAAAAACAGATCCTGCTCTACTCAGGTCTCTAGAGCTTTTTAAGAAACAGGGCCACCATCGCCAAGTATGAAGTGTTCTATTTAAATAACCTTTAACTCTGGAGCTCTGAAGTCACTTCACTGTGTTCAGCAGTATCATTCTGGAGCTCAGATTTTTGAGACCCTGACTACCTAATACTTTCAAAAGCAAAGGACTGGGCCGGCCTGTGGCTCACTCGGGAGAGTGCGGTGCTGATAACACCAAGGCCACGGGTTCGGATCCCATACACGGATGGCCGGTTGGCTCACTGAGTGAGTGTGGTGCTGACAACACCAAGTCAAGGGTTAAGATCCCCTTACTGGTCATCTTTAAAAAAAAAAAAAAAAAAAAAAAAAGCAAAGGACTTAAACTATTTGTAAACAAAATATCTAGCAATAATAATTGATAATGCCTCTTTCCATCTACTATACGAACAGACAGAGAAAAACTTACCTTGTTATAAATGTAACAGTTGGTGAACATGGTGTTAAAATCCTGCATACACTCTGAGGCAGCCCAATAGTAATTGTTCTCAAGTCTCCTCTTAATAGTACCCATGTCCATAGGCTGTTTTATAATTTTGTGATAATCCTAAATGAAGAAACGCTAGGTCAGAACCAATGAAAGTATGTACTCTCCTAGGGAAGCTACTCACCCCAACACACACACATCCCTTTATGCATCAAAGAAATATAGTTCCCTAAACTGCGGCCCCAATGAAACTAGTGGACAGAAAAAAAAAATAGAATAGGATCCTTAACACCCACAGGGAGGTCCCTACTGCCTTTCTCTACCCATCTCCCACCCACTCTGAAACTTCCCATCCTGTGACATTACCTCTGGGGCTGGCTATCCATGGGCTGCATGAGGGAAAGGAAGAAGCTAAGAATTTTGGCCACCGTGGTCCTCTCCCAACCCGGGGTGGGAATCTGTAAAATGGAGCCAGGGCACAAAAGTTAAGGAAGGACACATGGAGGGCACAATGAGAGATGCCAAGATAGCGATAGCAAGCAGTTGGATCAATCACAAAGGACCAAAAATCGAGAAATCTGGTGGCTATCTTCCCTACGGGGGAAAAACAGGAACTCCCTAGGGGCCGCAGCATCTATACTAGGCAGTCCACCCCCACTCACACACATTCTTGCTCATTCCCATACCTCCTCACACCAACTTCTCTACTCACCGGCAAGCCCAGTTTGACAGCATCCACAGGCTGCCGGAATGGCCATGCAAACTGATGTTTCCACAGAGCCTTCATCACCACCTTGTGTAGGTATTGCAGCTGGTTGGTAACCCGTCCCGGCTTTTTGGGATTGGATACCTCTGGGGGCGGTGGGTTGGCAGGAGTCAGTTGCAAAGCGGGCACTGAAGCCATCGTGGGGCTCTCAAATCCCTCGTACAACAGAGAGGGCTTTCGAATCCTTTTCCCTGGTGCTGCCGCCTCTGGTCCCAGCCCCAGTAACCCTGCATTCCCTTCCCCAGGGAGCCTGCAAAAATGGGAAACAAAAGCAGATGTGATAATCTTATGGAAATCAGGAAAAAATGCAATTGGTCCTATGTGCCGGATAGATCCAGGCTTTAGAGCTAATGAAATAGTTAACACTATTCAAGTGTGTCTCAACCAGAACCAATATCCCAACACTGTGAGCTTTTACTGTTGGCTCTGCCCTTTTTCTTTTTAGTCGACTCATCTAGACCCCGCCTCTGAAAAATCCGATGAACTGTTTTTTTAACTAAAAACACAAAAAACTCCAAAACAGTTTCTGATAGGGTACGTCTTCTGAGAATTACCTAAGGGAACGGGGCTTAAGCAAAACGAGTGGAGCTGAAAAACTCAAGGCCCAAGTTTCCTCCTCCTCACTAGGGGTTTGGTGGTTGCCATGGTGGTTGAGCCCAAGGGAAGCCGGAGAAAAAGAGGAAGAAAGACAGCAAATTAGGGAGAAAAATTTCATAAAATAATTGAGACACCTAAGACTCCACCTGAGTAGGAAATATCAGCATCCTCTACAAGCTCTGAGTAGTTTAACACCACAGCAAAAAATGGCCTAGAAACCTAACGGAAGAACCACCCAGCTCAAAAAGAAATCCAATCAAGAAAGCATTTATCAGACTTCACAGTCTGAAATAACCCCACCGGCCAGTCCCCCCCAATTGTTTACACCAAATCCAAAGTCTCCCTCCAAGGAACTGAAAAAAAGAGTTGCTCAAAGTCAAGGTCTGCAAGACCCATCCTGACAGTGAAAGTCCCCTCCACCCACCCCGCTAAAAAATACGATTCCACCAACAGTTGCCACTGTAACAACCCTGGAGACCAAAGACCGACAGTGGTTCAAGTTTACACTCCCTCTGGGGCTCCTCCGGATCAGGTGTTTCCCACCACCTAAGAATTAAGACACTACAACCGAAAGCTTATTGTTTACATCCAGAGCTGAACTACAGAAGCCTTAGCTCCACCCTCCCGACTTGAATGAAACTCCACTGCTATCAAAAAACGTACCCCACCAACAAACACCACAGGTAACAAACCACCGACCCAATCTCTTAAAGACAAACTAGAATTTAATGACCTACCCTAGACATTAGGAACCCACAAGCTGGGAATGATCTCCTCTACCCTACGCTGTGAATCCCCGTTACCAGTCCCTGAAACTATCGCCATGGCAACCTTAGCTAACACACGAGGGGTGACCATGAACCTCTCCCCGAGACTGACAAGTTGTCGCTAGACACCAGACCCACCACCGAAGACCTACTGCCCTCTTCAACTGTCCACCCCCACTACATTCCGCCGCCAAACTAGCTCTGCTTGGCTGGGTTAAGATGAACCAAAGCGGCAAAAACAGTGCGTACGTAAGTTGACAACCTGTACTCCCCCCATACGCAGTATCTGGGCCGCCGCCACCGTCCCAAAACTGTCCCTCGACCCCCTCCCGCAAGCCCAAGTCAACAAACAGCTGTGCCGCGAAACAGCAACGCGCCCAGTCGTTCGGTATGGCCCCCCGAACACGGAGGCCTCCGTGCTGCTGCCCCCAACGCCCCCTTCCCACGCGCGCCTCGCGGAGACATACTTGTGGGGAGTCACGTTTTGCAGCATCTTGACCGCGGGGAACCGGCGCTGCCTTCAGACGCGGAAAGTCCGGGTGGCCTCGGTTCCCCTCACCACCCGGTCCAACATAACCCGGGAAGTGGGGGGAGGCCCGTTGCCCCTGGCCCTCCAGGCGACAAAGCCCTCGCTCGGCCGGCACGAAAACAATCTCCTCCGCTGCCTCTCGGAGAGCTCCCGGCAGCTTGGCGCGCTCCGCAGACGACGGACAGCAAGAAAATGGCGGCGGCCTCGGCTGAGACGGGCGAGCGAGTCAGGGGGAACGAACTCTTCAAACCCAAAGACGGTCCCAGACCGCAAACACCGTCGTCAATACAGCCCGTTGTTGATCTGCAGGGGTTCCCGCTTCTGGTCGGGACCGTCCGGAGCGGACGAGGTCCTGTTTCAATCCCGGATGGAGGTGGATGAACACGAAAAGTGGTTTAGGGAGCCGCCGCCTCCATCTTTGAAATCCTCTTGAGGGCGGAGTACAGGGGGTGGACAGACTCCGAGGACTGGGCGGGGCCCGAAAAAGGGGAGCTTCGGGGGCTTCTATGGGGTCTGCACTGTCCACAGGGACCAGTCATAGGCCGAGACGAAGGCCATTTCCAAGCGGATGGATGTGGATTGCAATGGCGGCCCCGGACGACGCAAAGGCTCTGTTAGACGTAGGCAGTATCCTCCAGCTCGTCCTAGAGGCCGCTCCACTCCAGCGCGAAATGGCGCCGTAGAGCCCCGCGCCAGCCCTTTATATATAGGCGGGGGGGAGGAGCTTCACTGATCATGCGCGCCACCCTGCTCGAGATTTCCCCCACCCCTTCTGCGCGCGCTCGCTCGCTCACGCGCGTGAAGCAGCAGAGTCGAAGTGGGAGGAACGTCTCTCCGCGGGAGCTTTTTCTATTGGTCAGCCGAAGAAATGACATCATAAGCTTCATTTCCAAGCTGTCAGTCACCAGGCAGAAGAGTGCCGCATAGACCCGTAGGGAAGCGGCAAACCACATCTTCGAGCCAATTGGATGCGCTGTTTCGGCGACTCCAGGGAAAAAGGAAGGTTGGAAGGGGTGCAGGTGCCATCTCTCAAGGCCTCCAGCATCCTTTTCCCGCATCTCCTTCCAACAAAGTCTCCCAAAGTCTTCCAAGTACGGCGCAACTGGAGACTGCCAAGCTCGGGGAAGTTTTGCCATTCGTAGCTCCTCCATTGGCCAGACCGCAGGGGAATGGGAGGGGTCGCGTGGGCGTAGCCGGCCTCGGCCCGCCAGGGGTGTGGCCGCAGGACGCCTGGCGGGTGGTGGTTCTGGGCAATGAGGCTGCTGCAGTGAAGAATCTGAAACGAGGAAGAAGACGCCATCTTAGAAGCCGCGGCCTGCTCCCGTTTGGTGAACAGTTAAGGACTCCCAAATGTAGCGATAAAAGTATCTAACGTTCCCGTGCTCCACGATCTAAAATACAGGCTTGCCAGAATCTTAAAATCCGCCCCCCCCCCCACGAAAAACAATCTAAAGACAAAGGCAAAACACTCATCTGTGAACTCCCAAAAGCTTATCAAGGCCACCAAACCTAGAATACGCTCCAGCAACTTGCACGCCCATCCCTCCTCATACCTTCAGTTACCAACACAAATACCTGCTTGCTCGACAAAACCTCGACAGCCTTAGCCTTAGCGGCGGCAGTGTCCCCAAACGCACCCACCTACCCGGTGTAACCCACCACCACCCCACACTTCATCCTGACGTCCGGCTCAGAGTGGAAAAAAAAAGTCCGGCCAGGGGCTAATCAGGACAAATACCCTCCCCCTCTAGGCGAGCTCAGACCCCCCCCCTCAGGGTCCCTCCGCCGCGGGGGCGGAAGAACCCCCCCATCCCCCACCAGGGTCCGGAGTCCTCCCCACGGAGCGGCTCGTCCATCGGTCAGCGCCAGGGAGGAGGGCGAGCGGAGGAGGCGGCGGCTGCGGCTCAGACTAGCCCTCCCCCTCCTTCTCTCCCCTCCTCCCCTCCCCCCGGGCCGTCCGCCTCCGAGGAGGGGCAGGAGCCATTTTGGGAGCTCAGTTTCGCCCCCTCCCCCAACTCTCTAAGTCTTCCTCATAATTTGGTTATCTGAATAGGGTTACAGACTATGTATGAATAAAGAACCAGACGCCAAGGTCAGGATCTCCAAAGCAACTCTAGGGCTCCCCCCGCCCCCTTATAGGACAGTTAAAGGATTCCCCCCACCATATACCTGGGCTTTGGCGGGGCGTCCTTCCTCCTCCCCCCTTCTCTCGCTACCAAAGGAGAAAACAGGCTTGCGTACATATCTGGGAAAGAAAACTGATGTAGGTGAACAAAAATAAGAGAAGCTTCCCCTTCTCCTGCGGGAAGAGTTCATAAGGGCCTAGGTGGGTAAGCTCCAGCCACGCCACCCTCCCTCCTTCGCAGTGGCCCTTGAGCCGGAACCTCGAACCACGGTTACTGCGTCTAAAATGGCCACCAATCTCCCGTCTTCTTGACAACCTGAATAGGGCAAACCCGGTAGGGGGAAGTGCACATCGGGCAGCGTCCCCTTCCCCCCCGATAGGGATCAGGCCCCGGCCCCCAACAGTACACCCTGCCCCGCCCGGTGACTGCAGGAGGGAGAGCAATGACACAGCAAGTTTGCAGAGGCCTTCTCCCCTCCCCCTAGTGGCTCAGCCTCCCAAATCTGCTTTTCTTTACCCGGGGCTTTGCAGGTCAGGACAGAGGCACATCAGGGGCCGGCCAGGGAAAAGAAACTTAGGAGGCTGTGAAAATGCTGGGCCTTAGAAAGGGAAAGGGCAGCCAGACATTACTCTCATTTATTTCCCAGTTTTCCGGAAAATCACTGCTGTCCGATCCCTCCCAATACTCCCTTCCCCCATGAGTCACAGAGGGAGGCTACTGCTACTCAGTAATTTGGAAAAATAACTCTTCCCTCCTTTCCGTTCCCTCCCCCGCAGTACACAAGGAGAGAACTGTTCAGGGCTGGGGGAGGGGATGAAGGAGGCAAGAGAAGAGGCCACCCTGGAGAAACCCAAAACCTTGGGAGCTGTGAAATCATTCCATGTCCTGAGCCTCCCTCTTGTCTCGGGCCACGCTTCCTACCCACCTCCCAGCACCCACCTTGGGCCTAATTTCTGTTCCCAAGTGGATCCCAAGCCCTTCCCCAGCCTGAAATAGACACATGTTCAGGTAAGAACTTACAGGGGCACAGGGGCAACTATGGTTTTTGCAGAAGGCCCCACAGGCCGTGTCCACGTGAATGCACTCAAATTCGATAAGCAACTCGAAGCGTAACCGCCAGCATGCCATGTGACGACTGCGAGCTTCCTACCGCTGACACAAAGGGAGCACAGAAATGCTCCTTCCAGAGTCTCTGGGGAAAAAGAGAGCTGGCGCCTGGACACAATCTCAGTTCACAGCCTGGGATGCCAACTCTAAAAGCGTTCCCATCCAAAAGTAGGAACTACAGCCACCACTTCCACTCCTCAGCCCACCAGGTCACCCCTCGGCCGCCAAAATGATCCCCTCTCACCTGGCTCCGGGCTCCTGTGCCCCCAGGGGAGGAATGGAATGGGGGTAACACATAGCCCCCTCGCCCCTTTGCCCTTCAATTGGTATGGAGGCGTGAGGTTGGCCCTTCCCCACCCCCTACCAAAGTGGCGCTCTCCTGCTCACCTCCCTCCACGCTCCCATTGGCTGTAAAGTGTTTGAAAGACAAATTGTCCCACCCTCAGGATTCTTTTCTGAACCCCAAGAATCCCCCTCCCGGACTCCCCACCATTGGTTAAGCACTTGAACGACTGACAACATTCCCGCCCCGCAAGGACCTCTTCTCACCTGGATCCTGAAACCTTCCAGTGGGGGCTCCAGTTTTTGCCCTTGGCTTGGTGCGGGGGGAGGACGTAATCCGGGGTGTCAACCCCCCCGGAAACTGAAGCTGTGTTGGGGGAGGGGGCATAGCCCCAGCCCCTCCCTTCCTGACCAGGCTGGGGGGTGGGGAGAGCATCGGGGCCGCGCAGCCACGTCAGCAGCACCCAGATTGGCTGACCGGGGTCACGTGCCTACCGCCCCCTCCACCCCCCTCCCTGCACGAGGGCCAGTTTTCCAAACATTCCTGGGGGTCGCGTAAGGGGCCAAAGGGGCGTATGGCCCAGGCCTATCTCCCGAAACCCAGAGCACTCTAATGCTGCTGCTTCTCCATATCCTGCTGTCGTCGACCCCGTCCCCCCCACTCGCCTCTCGGTACGGGTTCAGCATGGCTGCCGCGTCCCCACGACATCCACGGCGCAGGCGCAAGGGTGCCACAGACTTGGGGGAGGGAAAAAGAGTGCCGGAGGCCGCGGGGAGATGGGTAGTGCGCAGGCGTCCGGGCCAGTACCGCAGCTCCCGCGGCGTAGTGCGGGCGCGCGCAGTGGGTGGGGCGGGAGCCGGCGCCGCGCGCCGACCTCAGCGGCCCCTCCCCGCTGTCCTCGGCCTCTCGGGGTGGCCAGGTTTGGTCTTTCCTTGGCCGGTATGTGGTTCCTCTTGGCATGTCCTGGCCTGAGTCCAGCGGAAGCGCGCGCCGCCGGGCTGTCGTCAGTGAAGGAGAATGGGGCCTGGACCTGGAGATGTGAGGGTGTGCAGGGTGGGGCCCATCCCCTGGTGTAGTGTGGCGCGGCCACGGTAGAGGGAGTTTATCGGCCTGTGCCTGCCGCGGCGTGATGAGATGCGGACCGTAGATGTGGGCGTTTTGTTCGGCTTTTTAGTTTTAGGCAGCTCTACAATCTCTCGTGTACCTTGAACCTACGCCAGACTTGTTTACTTCGTTGAGACCTGTCAGTTCCTGGACTCCTCTGCCTTCTACAGAATTTGCCAGCTGATCACTTTTCCCTCTACTTATCTCGGGTCGACCATTTGAGTTGAAACTCTTGGACTCCTAAAGCTTTGCCTTCAACTCTCAATCTCGAATCAATTTAATAACAACTTAGGGATTGGTAACAAAATATTATGATGATTCGGTTGCCACCTAAGGTATCCTTTAATTTGTCCTTAGCCCGTAAGCTCTCTCGTGATCTCTCCAAGTGCGGCCCAAATTTTCATTCTACAGCCCCTAATCTCCACTCCGCAAAGACAGATTATCACTTCTCAGCATAGAAGGGCTTCCTCGCAGAACTCGCAGCTTCCTATCTCCCACCCATAAACTAGGGCTTGTCTGTATTCCTTTCCCATTTCACCAAGGGTCCTCCCTTTTGTTTAAGGAAATACCTTTTGAGCTGTTGTAACTTTTGTTACCCTGAGGCTATCTTCCATTCTCTGCTTTTTGACATTTTTAACTTCTCTCTTCTGGTTGCCCAGCCAAAAAAAAGAAAAAGAAAACAACCCTCTCAATATTGTACTTCATTATGGACTTATTTATCTGTCTTCTCCCTTTCACAGCCAAAACTTGAAATTAAAAAATTATACTTATCATCTAAATTCTCTCACCTTCTCCCTCTCTTTTTTCTCCTTTCCCCCTCTCTCTCCACATCCCCATTTGTCAGGCTCGGACCACCAAAACTCTTCTGGCGGACGTCACCAACGACTTCCTAATTGGCAAAGTCAGGAAGCACTTTTCAGTTCTCACCTTATTTGAACTTTCTGAAGTATTTGACATTTGATTATGCTTCTTTCCTGACATTCTGTATACTCTTGATTCTGTGACCAGTCTCACCTGTTTCTTTTCCTACTTGTCTAACTGTCCCTCCCTAGTCTCCTTTGTGGACTCTTTTTCCTTGGCCACTTCCTATGTGTTTATGTTTGCCAGGAGTGTGCCTGTTTGCTTCTAGTTCTATTCATCTGCTCTAGGTAACCTTACTTAGTGGCTCAAAGCCTCTCAAATCTGTGTCTTTAGTTCAGACAACTGTCTTAAGCTAAACTTCCTATGAAATATTCCCACTTGGCAATTTTCGGACACTTCAGCGTGTTCAAAATTGGTGCAATCTGTATGCACTCTAGTCCTGCTGAGTAATGGCAGCTATGCATTCACAAAGCTTGGACTCTGAGCCCATTCTTGATTTCCTTCCTCACAACTTTACATCCACCAGACTGTTATCATTTTGCCTCTTAAATATCGATTGAATCACACTTCTGTCCTAGTCCCATCACCCGAGCCACATCAACAGTCTCCTAAGTGATTTTCTTATCTCTAGAGCTGCTCTATCTGATACTGTAGCCATTAGCCACATGTGGCTATTTGAATTTAAATTAATTAATATTAAACATTTTAAAATTTAGTTCCTTAGTTACACTAGCCACATTTCAAGTTCTCAGTAGCCACATGTGGCTAGTGGTTGTCATTTGGGACAGCACAGATTATCGAACATTTCTGTCACCAAAGAATTTCTATTGGACAGTGCTGCTCTAGACTTTTACTCTCTGCCTCTGGCACAATACTGCCAAGAGTGAGCTTTCCAAAATATAGCTCTGGCCATGTGTTGTAGGCCATTAATTCCTCATTGCCTACGATAAAGTCCAAATTCCTGTGCTTGCCAGAACGGTCTACCTCCCTCTCCAGCCTCATGTCTAGCCACTTCTTCTTGGGTCCTCTATTTCAGCCATACTGAACTGTTTCTCAGACACACCATTTTGTTTCATGCCTCTGTGTTCTACACATATGCTCTCTCTACACGGAATATGCTTTTCCCCAGTCTATCTAAGCCCAAATACTACCATCTCTGATACTCCTACTTTTACTGCCCAAATTGAGCTGACTGCTTGCTTATTCCTTGGTGTCCCTTCCTCTTATGATTGCACCTTTCACAGTGAATGGCATTTGTGTGCTTACATGTTTATCTCCACTAATAGACTTTGATCTTGAAAGCAGGGCCATGTTGAGCAGATACACAATGTCTGGCCAGCATGAGGTGCTCACAAATCGAGCTAATGTTGAAGTGAATTGATGCTTTAGTAAGTATATGACTTAGGTAAGATTGTTATGTATATGTGTTATGGGGCACCATGCACAGTGTTGGAGAATAATCATAGACAAAATCATTGCCTTCAGGTAGCTATCTGAGACACTGAAATGGTGTGAGGAAATACAGAAGCAGAACAGCACAGGTTATTTTCAGCAGTGCAGTACAATCTGACCAGAAATAAGTTACAGGAAGTAGAGCAGAAGAGAAAACTGGAATGTAAATTTATTTGTGGAGGCCATATTATGGAGGGTTTCCAATACTATTAAGTTTGGACCCAGTTGGGAGACACTGAAAGTTTTTGAGCAATGACTTGATCAGAATTATGTCATTAGATAGGAACTCTGTCTTCCAGTGGCTAGCATTGTACCTGTTAATAAGCATCAAATAAAAATATTGGGTTGGAAGGACATGTGATTAGTGACAGCTAATGTATATTGAGTACTTAAAATGTGTCAGGCACTTTTGTAAGTGTTTTACATGTATTAACTCTTTTAATCCTTATAACCCTATGAAGTTGATACTGTTATCACCCCCCCGCTTTTTTGGCAGCTGCCTGGTACCTCTCCCCCTACCCCCCATTTTTAAATGAAGTAACTGAAGAAAGAGATGTTAAATCATTTAGCCATGGTCACGCTTTTGTAAGTAGTAGAGCTGAGATTAGTACCCAGGCAGTTTGCCTTAGGATGATATGTTATCCTGGTTGCTAGGCATAGTAGGGAGTTTAAGATCCAGGTTTGAGGTTGGAGAAAAAAAGATTAGGAACAGGTAGATTTGGTTTAGGGTAAAGGATTGAGCTTTGGGTTAGATCCTCATACAGGGAGCAAAATAGGTAGTGGAACCAATGGAAGAGCATCAAATGAAAAGCAGAGCCACAAAATGTGAGGAAGCCAGATCAAGAAATGGTTCCAGTGAGGATTTCATGTTTATTGAATGTGCCATGCACTTTGGGGGCAGTTTGATGAAGACTTTGGACCTTGTCTGACAATAATGTTTGTAAATGCATAAAATACAATATAAAAGACAATTATCAAAATACTTAAATACATGTGTGATTATCTGGTAGTATATGTTTCTATATTAATACAATACAGTATTTCTTTATTAGTACATTAAATAACAGGATTCTTTGGCAGATTTAACAACTCCCAAAATTGTGAAGTAGAGATATTTTGATATGTTTGTAACAATTATAATGTGATATGAAAATATTAATTAATGATGATTTCTATTGATGACAATATTACAGGTACTGCTAGTACTACAAAGATTTATTTTCTACATATATAAAATTAAATTTCAGTTAGAGTTTATTGAAAATAAAGATGATTTTATTTCTATCCATGTTCATATACCTTTAAATTCTATGGTGTGTGGTCTGCAGGTTAAAAACTCCTTTTCTGATTGGATGAGAAAGTGAGACCCTGTAGATAGGTGTGAGAGAATGAAGAAGGGGGAAAAACTCACTGGGTTGGTAATTGGGGGTCATTACATACTGGAGAGCAGTTTCTATAGTGTGGGGAAGGAGTCCAGAGATGGAGGACCTGAAAACCCAGACCAAGTAATTCAGACTGAATATAGTAGAAAGGAGAGAATTATTTTTTTTTGAGAGGGGTGGTGAGAGCTACCCCTTGTAGGAAAGTTTATTTGTAGGAAGACTTATTTGTAGGATTTGTTTATTTGGCAACTGTTTTAGTCCGTTTATGTTGCTTATAACAAAGTACACTGAACTGGGTGATTTATAAAGAAAATGAAATTTACTTGCTTACAGTTTCTGAGGCTGGGAAGCCCAAAGTCCATCTGTTGGTGGCTACTGAACCAGAGGGTCTCACATTGCAAGATGGTGGAAGCAGAGAGAGCAGAGAGAGAAAGACAAACTCTCCTCTTCTTTTAAAGCTCTTAGAACCACGCCCCTGACCACCATTTTTAATCCATTCACTACTGCATGATCCTACAATCCAACCACCTCTTCAAGTCTCCACCTTTTAATTACCATAATAGGATTTCCCACCCTCTTAACAGTCACAG